GTTTCTTAACATGTTAGAATTTTAGCCCGTACGTTTTGCACCAAAATGAGACATCTCCCAGCTTCACACGATATTTCTTTGCAAAGTTACAGAATTTACAAGAAAAGCCCTAAATGTTCATTGTCAGCTCAGAGCTACAGAAATAACAAGGAAAAATTGATTTAGGGCTTTTCTTGTAAATTCTGTAACTTTGCAAAGAAATATCGTGTAAAGCTGGGAGATGTCTCATTTTGATGCAAAACGTACGGGCTAAAATTCTAACATGTTAAGAAACACTAGTATGATTTTAGGGGATTTCTGGGAAACCGGTTTTCCAGAGACCCGGTATCACGAGGCCCATCAGCCCAAACGGATGCCATATTCGGATTCAGCATATTTGATTACCTACTGCCCACTTGCTCATGGCTGAAAAGCGATTTGCCACTTGGTGTCCTTTCCTCGTAAGATAGTATAGTAATTATGCATTCCACTCCTCGACATACCATCTATATCCCGGTGTGCATAAACTTATATAGACATTTTATTCTTCTAGAGCTTGTCTTGCGATTAAGGGATTTTATTGTATTTAGGGAATGGCAAATGTTAAAAGAACAATTAAACCTTTCTATGAAAGGTACATCGATAAATCAATGATTGATGATTATTATACCACTGGTGCTACTTTTAATGTTAATCCAAAACCGGATAAAGTATCTTTCATTATGAATTGCACAAGTGATAATATAAAATGCGAATCTTTCCTTTTTCTAGACCGAGGAAGTGCTTGCAGGTCTAAGAGGTATACCCAATGTAACCGTGTTCACACGCGAAACCATGCCCGAACGTTTTCATTACTCTAAACAGTTATATCGGCTCGGCGAAATATTCGTCATAAGCTACAACCATATATTATGTTATTTCTCTTTTGCATTCCACCAAGAAGGACCATATTCCTTTGCAGCTGGCTATGTAATATACGAATGACGTCTTACCAAATGAAGATGGAATAATATTCTCTGGAGTGAGTTATACACTGAAATAAAACGTGGTTGTTCATTAACCTTTAACTTTTAAAGGACACAACCAACAGTTCTTCATCGTGGAATGGTGGAACTCATGGATGGGACAATGACTTTCCATCCATGAAAGCCATATTTATGTCTAAGGGACCATATTTTAAACGAGGATTTGAACTAGATACTCTCAATAATGTTGATATATATCGTATGGCTTGTAAAATATTAAATTTAGAGCCAAATATTTATGCTACTGATGGATCTTTAAATAATGTAACAAAAATGTTCAGTCGAACATCATCGTTCAATAATCAGTATTCAATTCTTTATGTATGTTTAACATTATTTCTTTTGTATCTTCATCATTAAAATAACAGTTTTTTCTTTCAATCGGAGCTCTTTACGCTGGTAATTGAATCTTTAAAGCATTCAACTATAGAACGATGGACAGGAGCAAGATGGATGCACGAGAGCGTAAACATCTCTTATTTAGTTTTCCCGAAGTTTTCGAACCAAAAAGAAGATCCTGAGTATTTTTTTAAAGATTTTGTTGCATCGGTTGATTCAGACATTTTCCTTACTGGAAGAAAATGCAAGACTAATGTCCTGTTATTCATCTTTCAACAACTACCTCAGTAGAAATTGCTTCTCTATACATTTATTCTCTGTTGAGTGTGACTAAGCGGCACAAAACGTTAAATGTCTATTTGGCGTACTACTCACTAAAGAAATAAACAATAAGACAAAATAACTGTTGTGTTGGTATTTTCCAACTAGTCATAAAGGTGACGATAAAATGATTAATAAAATATAGAAATAAGTAGCTATTATTGACAATCATTAATCGTCTTTCACGCACACACTGAAGGAAAAACGAGTTTCCAAAGCCTACTTTGATTAAAAAAACAAAAGTATTTTTGTAGGAATAAAGAAGACATTTCTGATTAATTGATTCACTAGAGATGTGTAGCGTAACTGTTTACAGAGCCCTTGCCCTACCTTACCCTGTGGCAATGCAGCTCTGCCCTACCCTACTCTTTGAAAATTTGAAAATTTTTCATTTACAATCATTTCTTTATTTTTTTAAATAAATGAATTATATTGATAAAAATTCTCTTTTAAAATTTCGTAGCAACATAATGTCATCGACCGTTTCTAAATTCTAAAAATGGGTGTCTTGCATCTGATAAAGTAAAGAGAATGTCAAAATGATATAATCGGTGGAAAATACTGTATCTCAATAATCTGCTTTCTTCAGCCTTTTTTCACAATTTCCGACTAGTACATAGCTCAAATAAATAATTTATAAAGTGAAGCACACTAGAGAAAACCAAAATCCAAAGATGCGGTTTATGAGCGAATTTTATGAAGCTTTTGTAGAGCTTCTTATAATTCTTTACAGCGCTAAGAAAATGTTTCTAACCTTAAAAAGATTGGTTCAATCTTTTTGTACGCAAAAGAGGATACCATATTCAGGCTCTACACGAAAAGATGAATCAGAGTATCAATACTGTTTCTTCCTAAAGCCAGCCCAGAGCTGGAACCGGTACCGAACAGAACCGGATCGGTTGAAAAAGTCAACCGAGTCGGTAAAGACCGATATTTCACCGATTGAAACTTTATTTTATTGTTAAATATAGACTCGTTATTGTGAAGGTTCTCTCACATGTACTCTCAAACTATTTCATTTCTGGAGGAAATTCTTTCTGAAAGTCGATTTTCAAAAAACTTCCCCAGGTTTTCGCCAATTTGAGTTATAATTCTAACCGACCCGTTTACCAACCGGACCGGTTTACCTTTGCTGAACTGGTTCCAGCTCTGAGGCAGCCCTATGAATTGTTCCCCGATGTGTTATGAGAATGGAAATACGAAAGTAAAGCGTGCTGACATATGTTGCAGGCAAAGTCTAAATTCAGGCAAATTTCGAATTTGCATAAGGAAAATTAGAATTTTAAGTTTTAGTAGGCAAGCTTAGGATTTAAGCGAAACTGGCATCGAAATGGGGAGAAGAAAGACCACGAGTAACAAGGTCACAAAATTGATGATACATGCCACAATTATGTTCTTAAGTTCTCCTCTTGGGTAATGAGCCATATTCACTCGCTAGAAAAGATTACACGTTGGACTGTGACAGTTCACATAAATCGACTATAGTATATAATAATTCAGAGAAAACGTTCTACTCTTCTAGGGACAAGCACTTTCGCTGAAAAGGATACTTATCCACTTCACTCGGTTGCATAATGGTCAAAGTAGTAGAATTCTTTGGGTTGTTGTCTGTATTGTTTATAAAATTATAGATTTAGTAACAATCGCAATGTTTGATATGTAATTCTCTCAATAATATAAAAGAAAAGCCATATTGCCCACAACAATTTCACAAAAGTTTATCTATTCATAATGGCCGAAAACAAATCATCAGATTTAGTTTTTAATTTTTATTTAAGAATACATTTTCAACGAGAAACATTATTACTATTAATGAGTAACCGAAGAAAAATAATATATTAACAGTAGCTGTACATAAAGTCATTTGAACTTAATTATTTCAACGGTTCGAAAATATTATTTTCATTATCAAGACATATAAGATAAATCAGAGAGCCAATTACTCTTCGGGAAGACTGAAAAGTTTACTGACGAGTATAGGATTCATAATAGTTTGACTTCTTTTTTATTCTCGATTTCTCCTCGGTACAGACCGGACGTATTCTTTTTTTATCTATTTTCTTCACATATTTACATATAGTTGTACTAGTAAATTTCTTACACTTATTGACTGGTCACATGTAAAAGCTTTTTATTTTTTAACTTTTGATGATGGTCGGTATAAGGCACCATGTTGAATCTAATTATTCTAGCCCAAAACTGATGACTCAATCATGTTCTAATGTGTATGGAAATGCGATGCGATTAATACATGATGGTTCGCTTGACCACTGTCATGATAATTGTGGATATGGTGGGTATAATATTAATATGAACAATTATCGGAATAGTCTTCACGGCGTGGCCAGCTAAAAGTCACCTTCAAATAAGAAGATTCGTCTACAAAACCAAGGAAAACTGACTGGTAGCCTTAAAGACGGGTGGACTATGGATAATCGACCATGCTGAGTCTTGTGGCAATATTTCTTTTTACAAAACATTTTAAAAATCTACCGAAAAGCCAGTTGTACGAAGATTAGGATTTTCAGGCTGTTTTCGCTTAATATTAAAAAATTCACTATTCACTCAAAAACATCAGAACGAGTTCAGAACTTCAGCATGTAGAGTGTTTAATCTATTCTATATCCTGTTTATAGAAGATCTCGATTAAAAAACCCTAAGGTTTCCCAAAGAGTTTGTTGAAAACCGGAATTAACCCAGAAACAGTTTTCATATCTAAACAGCCTCTGATAGCGCATAATCAATTCAAGTGAAACATATTCGAAATCTCAATGTAACGCATACATCGCGAAAAGGCAATTTCAGATTGATAAATATTTTGATAAAGGTTAATCTCAGTCACTTCTTTGACTTTAATTGGTTTCTAACAATCTCCAGTATTGAAAATAAACAAGATGTGGCGTAAAACAACATGTAGAGTGTCACTGTGGTTGAAAAATCAGTGTTTGTGCAATTTGTCCATTGCGAACGTTCGCTATTAATGAATGACACAGTAAAAATGATCCTCTTCATATTTTTTGTATAACTTTCTCATTCTTGATCGTGTAGATTGAGACGTTTTTCTTAAAAGATGTGGCATTTCAGTGAACATTTATCGATATACCGTAGAACTAGAAACAAGTGGAGAAAATACTGCAAAGCTTCGATCTTCGCAATATTTTAATTCAAAAACACGACAAAAACAAAAATTATTTCGAACATGGTGCCATGCATGAGAATCGAATCACAATATATATTCTAATACTTCGACATGTCGTCTTTTTTTGTGTACCAGAGATTAGCTTTGGACGTGCTGTCTGGCGCAAAAGTCGATTTGACCAAAACTCATCAGATAAACGACAAAACTGACTTTTTCATCTTGGCATCGGAGAAGAAACGAAGCTATTTCCTCTGTTCGGATCTGCTGGAAGAATTTGTGAGGTTATTCCTTTCAGAATCGTTTTGCATCCAATGGTTAATAGCTAAAGAAGAATGTAACGGTTGCACACCATTTATTTCAGTAACTTAACATCTATATATAGTATATTTTAGCTACAGGAAGATCTCTTTGGGAAACTGGGAAAAACAGCTATTGTACAAGAGAGAGAGAAGAATAGGAATGAAAAATATCCATGGGAAAAGAGTGAACAGAAAGAGAGAAAATACATATCATAAAAAGCAGAAGAGTGAATACATATATCAGAAGGACAGAAAGGATAAATAACCATCGAGTGACGAAAAGAATATGTATATTGAAAGATGACTGCTGATATGAGATTTAGTTTATACTTCCTAACAAATTATTCTACTTTAAGGTAGAACAAACGCCATCACAAAATGTTTGACTGTAGATGAGTTCTAAAACTTTCCTGGCTGCCACTAAATGAAAACGATTTTCTCGAAAAAAGCGATCTTTTTATCAATTTTGAGACAACGGTTGAAAGAAAACAAACAACGGTTTCTGTTCTTCCGAAAAATGTTTTATTTTTAATTAAATAAATATGACTTTAAAATCAGCAGGTGTTATTATTTTATCAATTTCGAGAAAGCTTATAAAACAACTGTTATAGATCCAGCCAAAAACTACCTTTGGGAAAAAATTAGATACATTTCGCCAGTCATTGGGCGATAGATGACTAGTTGCCATCTAGGTTGCTAGAAGGACATCTAGATTTTCCCGAAATCCTCTGAAAAGCAGTTTTCAAAACTTTCTTAAAAAACGTTTTTTGGTCACACAGAGCACAAAAAGATGACTACTGATAACATCGAGTCGATTGCACAACTTCAATCGTTGTACAGAATATAGATACAGAACGGTGAATTTAGTTCTGTAGTTTACTACAAAGCTAACGAGGAAAGTACACTAACTGGCAAATCGCTTTTGGCCTAAAACTAAGTGGAAAATAGGTTATCGACTATACTGATTCCGAATATGACAATGATTTAGGCTGATAGGCCTTTGGAGACCGGGTCGCTGGAAACCTGGTTTTCCAAGGTAAAAGTTTTATCGTTTCTAAAAAGTTTTCCGACTCGGCCAGATGAAAGAGCATTTCGCGAAAGCTATAAAAAAAATATTTTCAAAATTTTCCGAAGGTTTTTCGACAGTTTTCGTAACACTTTCCAGAAAAATCCAAGGTTCAGCCTCCAAAAAGTGTCTGAAAACCTTCGGAAAATTTTGAAAATATATTTTTTATAGCTTTCGCGAAATGCTCTTGCATCTGGCCGAGTCGGAAAACTTTTTAGAAACGGTAAAACTTTTACCTTGGAAAACCAGGTTTCCAGCGACCCGGTCTCCAAAGGCCTATCAGCCTAAATCATTGTCATATTCGGAATCAGCATAGTCGATAACCTATTTTCCACTTAGTTTTAGGCCAAAAGCGATTTGCCAGTTGGTGTCCTTTCCTCGTACGTTCACACGTTCGAATTCGTACAAAATTGATTTTGTGTTTTTCGATAGTTTTAGTTTAGAATACTATAATGGAATATTTTCCGCTTGTATTCTGATAGAATAAAGCTTATATCAACGTTTTTTGGTATGAAATATAGGCTAAACTATCTTCTTTCGATTGGTGAAAACCGCACCACGCGTCTGTATCTCTTAACACCGGTAAGAACTCTTCACACTTTTTGTGCTCAAGTGGAAAAACATGAATACACATGAATACCCCTCACCTTGCGCCCACCGTTACTGGTGAAGTTGACAAGCTTTTCAAATGATCACCCATCTTGTTACTGCTCATCAGTTGTAACTCTGATCAGAAGGCTAGCCTGGCGCGTTTTGGACACTAAGGGACACGAGTTGTTTTACAATTTAGAAAAATGTAGCTCATACCGAATTTGAGCTACAGCCATCCGCTTAGCAGACGAATAAATTCATCATTACTCCACACTAATGTGTGACTACTATCTTTGAGGCATGGGCGAGTCCGAGTCAAGACTGAAAGATTTTTTGCGGACTCAGACTTGAGTTTTTGTATTTCGAGTCCAATATATTCAACTTTTAACACAAATGAACAGAGAAAAATGAAAAGCGGAATAATACCTTCTGTTTCACAAGAAATTGAAAATTTTGCTCGGAAGACGCACATGGAAAGTAACCTTATTTTCGAAAAATCAAATATCTATCCAGGGCTCCGTAAATTAAAAAATAAACCACCCTCTTCACAAAAGAATCTAAAAGATTACCAGACTCGAAATGGACTCGGGACTCGGTCCTCAATGTTAAGAACTCAGACTCAGCTTGAACTTTTACGGAGTCGGACTCGGTACCCCCTCGGACTCACCCATGCCTGCTATCTTCCACGTTAAATTTACATGATAGTAATGAAACAAGAGGGAAAACAAGAGATAGTTGAAAGGCGCATAAGCACCACCAGCGAAAACTAAGTATGAGTTTTCTTTGTTAAAAGAATCAACATCACTAAACAGACAGCTAGCAAACAATGAACAACAAAAACTCCAAAGTCGGTATCAGTCTACGCTGCTGCTGCTGCACATATTCAAAGCGGCTCTCATCAGGAAAGCTGGGCTCAACAGTGACGAAATTTGGAAGTGAAAACCATCGTTTGGCTTGACTTGAACGTTAGTTCTACGAGCGATAACTTAAATGCAAAAGTTTGTCTGCGTCAAGCAATAACTCACTTCGAAACTTTCGAGGATAAGCAAAACTGTATCGATCACATAGTGTCACTTGAACCAGAGAAAATATAGTTTATCGTATCTGGCTCGTTGGGCGAATCTGTTGTGCCACTGATTCATGAGAAACCACAAATAGAATCGATCTTACATGTTTTGCTTCAATAAAGAGTAACACGAAGAGTGGGCTAAACGCTACGAGAAAATATGTGCCGTATCCACGAATATCGACGATATCTGTGACTAACTAACGAAAGATGTGGAAGTCAACAATAATCAATTATTACACGAAAGACTGCTTTCTCTTCCGAATGCTAAATAAAGCATTACGAACACAAGACATCGATATATTATTCAAGCTCGGCTTTTTCATCAAAGATCTTCACGAGGAGCTTCGCAATCTGCAAAACTCGGCGACTACTCATTTCGGAAGAACAATCACTGTTTATCGCGGGCTAGGGACACCAAACTAGGAGTTCGAAAGTTTATAAAAGAAAGTAGGAGGATGTGCCCATGCATTGGCATATCATAACATTGGACTAGTTTACAACAGTCAAGCTGACTGTAAGAAAATATTGAAATACTGTGAAAGAGATCTCAAAATCAGTCTCATTTCACTTTCACCAAATCACCCATATATTGCAACAAGATATAATAACATCGGATCAGTTTATAAGAATCAAGGTAACCATGAGAAAGCATTAAACACTCGTACTTCCATCAAAGTTTCGTAAAACGGCTAAGTCTATACGTCTAAAAAGCCACAACTTATGGATTAGCTAAACTATAAACATCTGTAGTATTCAGTTCCCTTGAATACAACTGAAATTCATCAATTAAACCAAAGAACTGAGACATAACCAATAATCCAGCGGTACACGAGATATTCGTTGCATTGACGGAATTACCGAGTGTAATCGTATCTGGATGTCCGCTTGCTGAATATGTGCTAGCAGCGGTACTTCCGTTAAGTGTACCATTCACATACAGTCGTAGACCGTTAGTTGCACTCCATGTTTCAACAATATGTATCCAACTATTTGTTAAAAGCACGGGACCAAGAACGCTAACAATTGAACCTATCCAACTCTGTACAACAACATGTCCACTGGAACTTATACCAATAAATGGAATACACCAACCGGGTAACCCTATACCTGTAGTATCGTAACCACCATTCACATGTAAGATAACACTGCCGTTGATAAAACTGGGGTTTATCCATAACGAAATGGAAAATGCTTGATTTGCCGTACCGAGCGCTGTTAGGCCTTGAAACTGATAATAAGATGGCAGTGTAGAACTACCAAACAATAGGGCTTCGTTAATGCGACCTGACGATACCGATGAGACATCTGTTCCTGTGCCATTGATATACAGTGGTCCCGAGTCATCATAAATTCCAGTGGCTACATCAAATTTATAGTATACAACCACTGTTGCATCAATCAATATCTCTGTAGCATTCTTTGATCGCAATGTCAGTAACATTTGATCCATATAACCATTGTAGAAGCCTGATGTATTCCATACATCGTTAGTACCAATTTTCAGACTGTTAGCCAGCCCCTTAAAGCTATTAGAAGATCCATATTGATCTAAAATACCGTTAATATAGATACTTTTCTTTAATAGGGTAACGTCAAGTACAAGTGCAAGATGATACCATCTATTCACTGTTAACGTAGTTGTACCAGTAAGATCATCACCATAGAAGCCCATGAATATTTTTTGACTTCTAATAGCTATATGTATACACTGATCGGTACTAAATGCTTGACATTGACCAAAGAGATTATCACCATTGGTTTGAGTAAGATTTGTAGGATATAACCATACTTCCAGTGTAAAACTTATATTCCGTAAACAGAGATAGGGTGTAGTTGAGACGAGAACGGATTGATTGAGGGAGGAAGTTAATTTTAGTCCGTATCCATAGCCCACATAACCATTGGCAACGTAAGACACACCGTTAATGCCAACGCCATTGAAAACATCGTAAAAATCATTTAGTGTACTATCGAATGTCCAAAAAATGTTTTGCGTATAAGCAGGACATGGATTGGGAGTAGTAGTGGCTAGTAGGTAAAAGAGAGAAGATATCGGCCGTTCAGAATAGCGAAGCAGTGACCGACAAGGTGTCGTTTGCCTAAACCTTACTTAGTATAAAGCGATTTCGTTAAGAGATTGCTAAGGAATAAACACGTACTGTATAAACGACGAAGACACGCAGTGGGCAACCACGTCATATTTCTGGAACGGAGAAAATATTTTTTCTTTCTTTGCTAAGTGGTTCTCTTCGATTTTTTCCGAACTGGAAACTTCGTGAAGTTTTATCGAAGATGCTTCTAGTAAAGATACATCGATGTTGTTAGCCCAAAATAGCCCAAATGCTAGTGAGCTGAGTTACAGGTTTTCCAAAAAATTGGTTTTTGAGACAAATTGGAGTTTTCCGAGGCTTGGGAATGTCAAACTCAAAAATTAATAGCAGATTTGGGATCCGCGCAAGAATCTGCATCGAACTGATGTACAATTCATTTAGTTTAGGACGATTATTTTTGATGTCTATAAATTTCTTGAATTTTGGCAACACCCCACAGAAGTTTTTGCCAAAAATCTAAAACGCATCTAGAATAAATTTTGTATAGGTTTTCTACGATGCTGTGTTCAATACAATGGTTTGTGAGTCCAGAAAAAGTTGTCTAGGGGCCGGATTTTCACAAAATCACTTAAAAACTTTTTTGGAACTCCAAAACCTTTCTATTGGATACAGCACACACGATAACCTATAAAAAACATGCTTTCAGGTTTTCATGTTGCTGGTAGACCAAAAGATCACCTGTTCCTTTAAAATTACCCAATCCGAGACAGTCCTAAAAGGTTTGACCAAAGAAAAGTAAAATGTACGCGCTTTCTAAAGTTTTTGAAAAAAATACGCCTTTTCGCTGTGGTATTCCTCAAATGCGTATACAAGCGCATAAAAAAGTTTTCAAAAAAGTCACAAAATTCCTAAGACTGTTTTGGGGCGTTTTTAGAAGAATTTTTGCTTTTTTCCTGAGAAAAAACGCCGGAAAACATACGTTCTGTGAAACACGAGTATTAAGTTCCGTTTTTGAAAAACAAAACAGGCATTTTTATCGTCGACGGCTTAGTCAAGCAGTTTTCTATTATGCATTTGCGTAGCAGGACATGCCGACCGAAACGTAGCTCTTTCTGTTGTAGCATAGACACTTTTACGGTTACTCGTCGAGTTGTCGAGCTCAGCTTGTTTATAACTCACTTATTTTGGTTGTGGTAGTGTTGACACTTACAGTTGTTGTTGTTACTGGAACACAAGCAGAATATGTAGAAGACAAAACCTTGCGCGACACTAAGGCGCATGTAATTCGAAGCTAAAGCTCACAAAGGGCCCTTTCGCCATAGCAGGCAAAAATTAGCTTTATAAGTAAACTAAAATTATTTGAGCCATTTTTCTATAGGTTTTCGACGATGCTCTTTCCAGTGACATGGTTCTTGGGTTTTGAGAAAGTTTTCTAAGGAGTTTTCCAGAGGTCCGATCTCTGAAAAACCCTCTAGAAAAATTTTCAAACTTAAAAAACCATTCGATTTGAAAGAGCATGGTCGAATTTCTAAAACCTAGAAAACCTTTTTACTGCACTTTTTTTTCAGAGAAAACTCCAAAATGCTAAGAGCGTGATGTTCCGCAATGTTATTTTTTACACTGATTCTAGGCCAGTGTCTTTTACAATTCCAGGTCAAAATGCGGAATTTCGATTGGAGTTAGAAGTGAGTGTCTCAAAACCGTAATAGCGTCAGTTTGCAAACCTAACTAGTTTTTTGTGCGAAGTGGTAGAATCTTCATTCGGACACCATTCGAACCGCCTTGAGACGCGTTACAAAAGTACGTTCGAGTTTTTTCGATATATTTTTTTACCTCTGAGATATTCGCCTTTCATTGAAAAGTAAGCCGGTTATGGCCAAAATCGCGTGCTTGATTGGCGAATAACTCAGTCAATTCTGACTGCACGGCCTTGAAACTTTGACTTTCTAGGTAAAACATGATGGCAAATCCGACGAAAAAATTTTTCTATTTTTTAAAAACCATCCAGAGGGTTCTCTGGAGACCGCATCTGCAGAAAACTTTTCCGAAAATCAAGCTTTTGAAAATACTCTAGATCAATTGTAAATCGAATTCTGAACAAAATAAGACCTTCGCGAGCATTCTGGAGTTTTCTCTGAAAAAACGTGCAGTAAAAAGGACAAAAAGGTGATATTCGTGATCACCGCCAAATTTTCTATCGATTGGTGCATAAATAAGCCAAAAATAAAATAGCGCTTCGACTTCGAATTACTTGCGCCTCACGTAGCGGTAAAAAGGAACATTTCTTTTACTCGTCATGCCTGTGCTAGTGGTAGCACTCGTCGTGCCTGTGCTAGTGGTAGCACTCGGCGTGTCTGTGCTAGCCGTAGGAGTTGTAATACTTGTCGTTGTAGTACTTAGTGTAACTAGAAAATACAAAATAACAAAATTTTTTAATGCGCAGCAGTGGGCGTCAGCTGCTGCATACTCGTAGGGGGAATTGTAGTAAGCATCGTAGTCGTTGTAGTAGTGGTCGAGCTCCCTATATGCAGGATAAAGAATTTGGATAGCTAAATCTAACTTCACACTTAACTAGAATGTGTACCTTGATTCCAAGTTGTGAGAATGATCGCTGTTATAATGCCAGCTAATAGAAGTGCAGAAAACAGTGCACACAGCCATATATACCATGATGAACACCTAAGATTAACGTCACACGTTATTCTGATACACACTTTTGTGCATTCTCGAAGTAAACTGATGCTACTCATTTCGAATGTATATACAAAATTTCTTTCTACTTTTTTTTAAACAATGACAATTCTGTCAACTTTTCCATGTCACTAGCTGTTCCTTTAACGATACACAATGGCAGATTAGTATTATTTCTTTTCTTACTTCGCACACTGTCTGCTTCGTTTGTTCCATCGGACTTGCTTGCTTTTAGCTTTGTCCTTATCTTGCGTTACTATCGGCAAATCATTATCAGCAGTCAGCGTATGCTGAGAAGATATATCGTCAGTTGATTTCATGCTTAACATTGGCTCTTGTAATGCCGATGAATAGTACTACAAACAGTACAATGCATAATCTATCTTAGAAGTCGTGGAATAAAGATAATACGTACACTCAGTATTTGTTCGTTGTTAATGAGGGATACGGAAGACGGAATTCTCGATATTGGCGTAAGGTTGCATCTATGGGCTCAACAGTCGGGAACTCCTGTTAAAACACAGTACACGGATATTCCAGCCCACTTGATCCCTTTCCCTACCAAATGCTTTCAGTTTTCTAGGAGCGTACCTGCATTTGACGAGGCTTAGTCATATCCATTTGCATGTGCCTTTCTACATTTGGATTTTTCATATCACTCTTAACGTTGGGTTTCTAATTCACAGAATTAACGAAAAGGCATGTACAGAGAGTAATCTGTACCAGTACATATTTGGTTACCTTTCGTTTAATTTTCATTACTACTGGAATGTTTGCTAATAACGATCGCTCATTTCGCTTTGTCTCTACAACATCTAATGATGGAACAGTTATGTCAGGCTAAAGCAAGTTCATAAAAGCTTTTAGTGCTGGACAGATTATATCAAATTTTGGTTTTAAAAAGGTATACCTCGATAAACTGTCCACTTCCAACATCGATAAGACTGTGAGTATTATTAACTGTCAAAAGAGCAGATCCGTTCCTTGACAAGGTCGAATTCTACATGGTTCAGGATAAAACAAGCATGCAGTTACTGTGTAGCTACTGTCTGTTTCAAAATAGAATGAACTCCGATTTTTCTGAATAATTTTTAACAGAAAGGGAGATAGAGACCTGCGGTTTTCGGCATTCGAAAGACGATACCGAGGCACACAAACCTATGAAACAAGAAAAGTTCTGGACAAGGTTTGTCATGGTAAGCCACGTCTGACTCTGAAAGACTAGGTTGCCAGAGAATGTTACAAAGTTAGATTTCGAATGCCGGAAACCGCAGGTCTCTATCTCCTTTCTGTTAACGGTTATTCAAAAAATATCGGAGCTCATTCTTTTTTGAAATAAATAGTAGTAAGTAGTTCTACAGTACCTGCATTTGAACTGGAGGAGTGACATCAGTATGTAAACACTTATCGACATTCAAACTCGTCATTTCACTTTTTTCTATTGGTTTCTAATTAATATAATTTAGAAAAAGTATGAACACATCTGTGTTCACTAATGAGTACTACTCTTAATCAGTTATACCTTTCGACTGATTTTCGTTACTTTTGAAATCTTCTCTTTTCGCCTTAACTCCACAGCATTTAACGGTAGTGAAGTTTGCATTGGCTAAAACCAGTTATTAACAGCAAGATTGTCAGATAGCTTAAATAAGAGCTCAGTTTTTAATCAAACGTACCTTAGTAAGATGGTTACTATCAGTGAGGGGAACGACTTGGCTATTTTTATTCAGTGACAGATCAGAGCCGGAATGTGTGGGCAAGCTAGTAATGGGGTTCTACAGAATATACTAAAATATAAATACACATCAATATTCAACTATAGTCTTTATACAGTACCTGCAGCTGGATTATGTCAGAGGAACTAGTATCGTCTTGTTGCTCCGCTCCACTCTTTCTGTTCATCTTAATTGTGTGACACTGGACATGTTGATTTGTTATTTCATCTGATGCTGTTTCACTAGATTTGTTTGATATCTAAAGCCGAGAACTGCAAGTTTCCATCCGTCTCTTCTGTATGAAATATCAAAACTACCTGTCGTTTAAGTTTCATCACTTTTGGTCTGATAGACGATAATTGTGTTGTTTTTAATTTGTCATCTTCGGCATTCAACAACGCAGTTTTTGACTTTGGAATCTAGAATTTCGTGCATATCGAAGATTTTTGTGAAATATTTTTAGTCTTTTTAACTTACATTGATGACAGCTGCGATGCGAACACTATCCCTCGGTTCAGAATCTGGCAGGATTTTGACTATCCTCTGATGATATAGTAGTATTAGTTTGTTTTTGAAGGCATTATTTATGCACAAACTAAATTACTTTTCTGTATATTTTGTTCAGTTTTATTGGAGTTACTGACGTTTGTTGTTGTACTGTCAGCGATTGTTGTTCCTCCCCTGTACTGTTGTTGCCAAATATAGACATTTCTTTGTGATCTTTCGTGAATGGAATTACAGGCTGCAGCTCCCGTTCACATTCCTGATTACCACATTAAAGAGTGGTAAATTAATATCGTATTTTAATTATAGCCTTATGGTGACGGCTTCAAAATTGCGCGATTTCAGGCGCTCGAAAAGAGAATGGAAAAATATCATACCAAGTCCGAATCTTTTCGCATGTTTTCTATGTTTCATTTTGCTAATTTTCACGATCCTGATGCTTCTTTTTTTTGCTGGGAGTTGAATTTCAAGCCCACTGTTTTTTTTTACTGGGCTGTGCTGTTTTTCCTCATCTTTTTTGCGTAAAAAATGTCTTCGAACTCGTGAATCGCTAGTATAAAAGCATACAGGAGTCCAAAGACGTTTTTGTTAGAACTTGAAATTCAAGTTTATATTGTTATTGATATCTTATCGAAAAATTTGCTGGGTTGTTTGATAGTGAACTTGAATTCAAGCTCATATACATTTTGAGACAGAACATATATGAACTCGAATTTCAGGTCCCAACAAAAATTTCTTCGGATTCGTATATTTTTCTACACGAGTGAGAAGGCAAAAAAGTGCAAAAATTAAGGGAAAACGTCCCAGTCCGATAAAAAAAACAATGGGCTTGAAATTCAACTACCAGCAAAAAAGGGGCATCAAGGCCGCGAAAAATAGAACAAAGCTGACCAATTAACGTAGGAAAAAGATTCGGACTTCTTCTTTTTTTTCTTTTCGGGCGGCTCAGATCGTAAAAGTAAACCTCCGAATCTCGCCTTATGATATTTACCCAACTTTTATCCCTAGGTATTCGGATTACAGAGGGTTTCACAGTAAATAGTGACATTTTGATTTCTTCCTATGAACAGAAACAGGACTTTTGAACGAAAAACAGGTTTATTTCAAAGATGGTAATTCCGTGTTACTTGACTTTTGCTTCTCGGTATACGGGTAACATTTGGTCGACTGTCTGTTACTGTGAATGTTCGCGTCATTTTTACATTATCGTAGTTTTCTATAGTTCCACGCTCGTCCTTTGTTGTTTTTGAACCGAAAGAAACAAGTTAGCTGGATCAAAATTTTCTCAAAAGAATAAGATTACTGACTGTGGAACATCGTTTAACTTTGATAACTTGTGTATGTGTATGTACTGCAGCAGCAAACATAATGATGCTTTCCTTCGACGCTAGCTTCGTTTCTACACAAAATCCTTTGATTAAAGTAGGAAAATGTGGAAAATAGAAAAAACAATAATTTCTTGTTCTTATTATTTCAATTTCAATTTTAATACTTGAATATGCAGATGCAGTCAAAACGTACTTCAACGCGAAAGTGAGATCGCGAACGTATTGTTTGTTACAAGTAATAAATACATTTGAAAAGGTAATAATCTTTGTAAGTCTTCACTTTTTTCATCTCTGTTTGATTGTTCTTTTGAAGTAATTTGCATACGCGTGATCTGCACAGAGAAATCTAATAGAATTATGAATGGAATAGAATTTAATTCAAAAACGAATTAATTTGGCTGCCCTAGCAGCAGAAAAGACCCGTATGCTTGAAAGGACTAATTCATTATCAAAATACGCGTTGTTTTTGCTATTATAGTCCGTTCCTAATATTGAATGCCGACTTGCATACACTTGTCTTTGAGTTACATACAAGAACATATGAGGGTATATGGTGACCAGATTGTTACTGATGCGCAGAATAGAAAAATAAAACAAAATATACTATGTGTTACTTATATTTCACAAAAATAAAAAAGAATATAGTGTTTTACAAATGCTCTGTATCTCTCTGCTATTGTACTCGATTATTTTAATCTCTCACTGAACTGAATATTACTTTGTTCCCTTGACTGTAAAGTCTAGGATTGTACGAAATTAAATGCATGTATGTTTGTGTCTCCACATTTTGATTGCGAGAAGAAAAACGTTAAATGCATCTCCGTTTGTGGCTCCACACTTTGCGTGCAAAAACGGTAAGTGACAGATGTATATACATGTAGTCATGTGGCAGTGTGACGGACGTACATACATTTAGTGGCTATACCGATAGACGTTTAACGTAGAAATGCTTGTTCTGCGCCAAAATTATCATTAGTATTAGCACACTGGAGCTCGATATCCGTCTTCTGACGCAGAATCTTCTGAGATAAAACCAATCTGAATACTGTTTTGAATAGCCCGAAGATTTTTCTATCAGGTGAGGTGCATAATGCCCTTTCATGAGAAAAGTTGATAATAGAGCTTCTGGAAAACCTGACCGCTGGAAAACCAAGTCCTTAGTATTTGGTCAGAAAATTTTACAAGCCATATAGTCTGATAGAGCGAAGAAATCTGAGCAAAGTAAGATATCTCCCGGCATTCTATAGTGCTTTTTCACCGCAATACTTTGGTAACTTTCACGCCCTTTATAGCTAGTGGTAAATCGACTGCAGTTACGTGAAAAAGCACTATAGAATGCCGGGAGATATCTTATTTTGCTCAGATTTCTTCGCTCTATCAGACTGTATGGCTTGCATGAGAAAACCAATGGATATTATCAACATGAACGACGTTGATCCGCAGATTTGCTGAGAAGCTACCGAGTATTTCGGATCTTAGACTATTCAGTTAGATTTTCTTAAGATCATCTTATACATCATTTTGAAGCCCGTGAAATTCTCTATCGAACGATATATGAAGTGGAGTGGTTAACGAGAAAAATTAGTCATTATTATAAACATGAACCACGTTGACCCGTCGGTTTACTGAGATGCTACCGAGTATTTCGGATCTTAGACTACACAGTACATTACCTTAAGACTATCTTATATATCATTTTGAAGCCAGTGAAAGTCTCTCTCGAATGATGCGTAAAGTACAGTGGTTAACGAGAAAATTAGTCACCGTTATAAACATGAACGACGTTGATCTACCGATTTCCTGGGATACTAGCATTCCGGATCTTAGAGTACCCAGTTACATTATCTTAAAGCTATCTCACATATCAGTCTGTAGCTCGTGAAATTCTCTATCGAACGGTGTATAAGAGTTGATATTTGCTCCGGGTGAAACAGATTGAATAATGTAAATACTTTGAGAAAACGTCGGTTAACGCGAGAAGAGTTTTTTACGCTAAAAGGTTTCCAGGGGCACTGAGAAGGATTTTTAAGATTTAAAAATATGTTAGCGTTAATCGTAGACAAAAACTGCATCAGATGAGTTAACATAAGACTGATTTGAGCGTGGATCGCTTTTGCCTCTTATCGTCCCGCGTCCTTTAAACACATTTAGCAGTATAACATATAAACATTAAAATTTTAACATAAGAACTACATATCAGGGAATTTGCAACTTTCGGACTCGTTATGACCGTTGTGCCTTTCGAAAACGGGGTTTTCAATGCATTTTTACGAGTTTTGCATTTAAAATCATGAGTTTTGACGCGCTGAAACCGTTTTCCACGTTTTTTCGTTCTAAAATTAAAGTTTAGGTATTATTTTGTAGAGTATTTCGCGGTGCATCTTTTTAAAAAATATTTACCTTAGGGTTTTAAAAGATCACAAGAAAAATATAAAATATGAGCTCATTTTTTATGTCCCACCCGGTGCTTCACAAAAGACTAAATTCATTTATTTCAGTTATTTATGTACAGCAATCCTCAACAGTAGAACTGGGATTAAAACTTAAAATTTCTCAAGAAGAAATCATAAAAAGAAATTCACCATACTAAATAACCTATAAGATGCAAAAATTAAAAAAGAACGTTCGGTTTTGCTATTAAAAGGAGCAAAAACTAAAAATTTAGAAATGTTTTTCACTTTTACGGAACTTAACGGCAAAAAGCGGAAACCTTTTTTTTAAACGCATTGTGCTTAACGTTGAAAAAATTCAATATATAGAGGTTTTTTACTCGATGTATGTATGTATGTAGGATTATGGCTCAATAGGTAAGCACCGAATCCCGTGCGACGACATGCCGTGTTCAAAACCATGGTGAAAGCTTAATTTTCTAAATTCTTCTTTCGTATTCAATGCTCCTCTACGTATTCTAGGTTCATCTCAAGGCGTTTAAACGATTCAATGATCTATTCTGACTCGTAAAAACGCGTCAGTTAACCTCCAGATCAATACCGGTCAAACTGGACGAACTTTTTTCGTTTTTTTTCTAAAAAAAAATATTTTCAACGCACACGTTG